AGTTGAAACTCTGCAGCGTAGATCGAGGCAGGACAAGACCCCTGAGAGAGACGTCTCATCTTTGTGGTAGCAGCCCGAACCTGATCCGTCTTGCCAAAATATGCTTCGAGCTTCTCTTTGAACAATTGAAGATCCATCAGCTCTGGAACCACGACCCGTTTCATGCTCTTCTCCAGAAGAGGAGAAAACCATGACAAAGCTACACCTTCGAGCAACGTCCCAATCGCGCCGATTTGAGACTCGGGAGTGGGGTACCACCGATGTTGAAGTGCGAAGATCAACTCCATCTGGTTCAGGAATCTGCGAAGCTCCGAACACTTGCCTGAAAATTTCACCGGGAAACTCACCTTCGGTTCAGGAACTTTGCTGGATCCTTGAGCCGAAAGTGAAGCAAGCTCCTGCTGCATGCGAAGAAGGGTCGCCCTCAACTCAGTATTCTTAGACTGGATTTTTGCAAGGACTTCGGCAAAGAAATCAGGATGGCTTGGAGACTCCATCGGCAGAAAGAAAGAAAAAAGGGGGGAAAAAAGGCAAAGGCAGTCAAACAATCAAAACGAGCTAAAGGAAAAACAATTTGAATCAAACTGTCAAGACCCCTAACAAGATCAAAACTGGAAAATGCAAAAGACAAAGAGAAAAGCTACTGTCAAGACCCCCAACAAGATCAAGACTAGAAAATGCAAAAGACAAAGAGAAAAACTAATGGAAACAAAGAAGAGGCCTAGACTGGTGTTGATTTAAATTGTGGAGAAATGGAACAAGGCTAACCCATATATACTATAGGTTGATGAAGCTCCACCACTCTTGGATCGAGGATAGCCTAAATATAGTTGAGGTCGAGGAAGCACTACATCATCATCAGGAATGTGGCTCAAGACTCAGGAATCGTACAGGAAATCAGAGAGTTAGGAATGGGAAAAAGTCTTGAGAGTCAGGAATAGGGAAGTGTCTCGAGAATCAGGAATGTGGTCTGTAAGTCAGGAATCCAGCGAGATTCAGGAATGTGGTATGAATTGGGGGATTCCTGACAGTTTATAAGTTCCTTTGAGAGTGTGAAATTATTTATTGATTTTTCTATCTCAAGTGTTGAATTGTGTGTTGAGGAAGTTAAGTGGTGTGAATTTTTTCCTTATCTCATGCTAACTAAAGTATTTTATCATAGCAGATTTTTTATTCTCTAGGCTTTAAATATATTTTCTTTTTTTCTCCCCTGAAATTTTCTTTTTTAATGCTTCTTTATCCACTTTTTTTCTTCCACAATATATTTTCCTCCTTTTTTCTCACTTCTTTATTTTTGCCCTGACACTTTAAACTTTTTTTTCTTTGGAGGAGGGGGTAAAAGGGATGGATGGAGTCTAGTTTTGACAATGGAATAAGGACAAGCAAATACGATAGTGGAGCAAGGACAAATGACATAAATTATGGAGTGAGGATGAATATAGCAAGTCTAAATGAAACATTTAACCCCAATATAGTGAGATTAAATGGATGTAATAATGGAGTGAGGCCAAATATAGAGAGGATAAATACAATAAATTTTGAATGGAGTTAGTGGTTTAAAGGTTTTTTTTCCTTCAAGAAGAGGTTAAAGAGGATGTGAAAGACAAATGGAGTGAGTCTAACTTCTCATGTGTGGTGCTAAACAAAGACAACAATTGTGAGTTTAAATTAATACAGATCTCAAATGTTAATCGAAGGGAAGATGCAAATATAAGTTTTGTTTATAGTTGTAAGTCTGAGTTAATGATGGTCTTAAAGGATTATCAACAAGTAAATTTAAAGATGGGATGTTATGTTTATTGCAATGTGCTTTATGGACTATTATGGTTCTCAAAGTCCCTTGCTTTAGTTCAAAATTATGGCTTCATAGTTAGTTTTAGCATTTGGCAATTATATATGAAGTTGCAATTAATTCATTGAGATTCTGTGAATGATTGATGTTTGTGCTATGGCTTTGGATTTTGTTTTAATTATGGTTGTCAGCAATATTGTTGATGGTTTTATATGAACTTTAGATTCTTATAATAATTTATAATCACTTAGCAAAAGCTTTAGATGTTCCATTTGATTTATTATCATCACCTTTTCATCTTTTGGAAGGAATTATAGTGTAAGGTTTATAAATATATATATATACATGTATTACCCTACCTAGATAATACACTAACGATAGTAATATAGTATATGGATCGCCAATTTAGGATTGAATCTAGTCCATCCATTCTTATATATATTAAACCTTAATTAATATATCTATTCTTATATCCCAAGCACTCATATATTTAAGTATTGCAACTAAAGGAATATTTGATTAAATATTTTTTTTAAAATTTTTAAATGTTATTAAATGGGAATTTAATGATATTGTTGTTATTAATATGATTTTTGTTTCTTCCACTATTGTATTATTTCACTACCCAAGTAAAGCATTTTATTCTTGTGTATAATAAGTTATACTTTATCCATGTGTTAGCATATTATTCAAAAAATTCATGTAATAAATATTCATCACAAAATTAGTCTTAAGAATGAGTAGCTTTTCCTTGGTGATACTTCAGTCATAGCTCTCCATCTCTAAATTGTTTAACTCTCCAAAACAATATTGAAGTATAATAAATAAAATCATTAATGAATTAAACATATAAAGTTTACCACTTAATGTTTAGATTGCAAAAGTCCATCTATATTTGATTGTGCCAACTCCAAAAGTATTTTGACAAAAAAAATTCGAAGATTATTGATTCTTAAATCCTTAGAAGTAAACTTTAAAATCTTATTATACAATAGAAAGTTATATTTTATAAAGATTATATTTTCTATATCTAATAAGTATCACCTCACTAGTAAAATCGTGGAGTATATAGCAGCAAGTTTTGTTGAAAGTCTGTCAATGAAAGAATAGATAATAAATTATTAATCATATCAGAGGTATAATTTTTTATAATTAATATAAAATTATTTCTAAAAGAAATAACTATATGCCTTTATCTTTTAACTATTGAAAACCACAAAAATTCAATCAGTTACCCTTATTTTTTGAAACCACTCCTTATTGATCAATTTACTCATGAATTGACACTCAAAGAATTAAAAAAAATTATGAAATAGATAAAGTAAATATCATTTTATAATCACTAATCAACGCAAGGCATTCTGTTGTCCTTTTTGAGAGTTTTGCTTTAATGGCCTCATTTTTTGCAGTGATCATACATGATACCTCCTTTTTAAAATCACTCGAAGAATTATTAGCATCACAAGGAAATTGAGTACTTCCCTCAAGCTTTAGTTTTGTATGCAGTTATGGCAACCACACTAACACTTCTAAGAATACTTGAAATGCTTTGGCAAGTAGGTGTTTTGATTGATTATGATTACAAATGCAACTTAATCTTTTCTTCTATAACTCTCAGTGTTGCACAATCTCAACTATGACTATTAGATAGTCATACTTCTCTAGAAAAAAATGGTTAAAGTATAGGATCTTCTGCTCCTCACAAACATCTTGATCAGATTTTAAAAAATTGGCCAAATATATATGAAGTAAACAAAATATTTCTCTATCTTTGAGCTTTAGATAAAGAACTTTAATTTAGTATACTGATACCCAAGTTGTGGTAAGTTATTGGTATTTTTTCTCAAATAACTCCCATAGGTCTTTTATAAATCTATATTCTAGCTTTGCAATAATAGAATCAGAAACATAGATTCCATAATGCCTTGAACTTTATATTCCTAATATCAAAATTTACAATATCCATCTCACCCTTACTATCAAAATCTTATGTTTTAGCTTTTGCCTTTTCTCCCTTTATAATATGAGTATTATGAAAACCAATGTAATCCATAAATCCATTTTTTCATAAGTTATGTGAGAACTTTCATTTTCCAATTTAAAATGTTGGCAATACCATCAATGTGATCTGTTGCTTTAAACTTTATGAATGGATTCCTGATCACAGGGAGAATTTTTGACAAAGAAATGGAAAACAAAAATTTGACTATAAATCATACAAATGATGAAGTAGATAAGACATTAATGCTTTATAACTATGTGAAAAGAGAGAATGGAAATGAGATATCGATCTTAAAAATGGCATAAATTTATACAACAAATTAATTCTATCTGTGGTTTTAGGTGATTTACTCTAACATGATAATGTTGAGTTCCATTGCTAATCATCCACCTCAAAGAGATTTCCTAAGTTTGTAAGTTCACCACCTCTCAAGCTTTGCAACTAAGCCTTCACTAACAGATCACAAAAGCGTGATTTAAGTGCATTGTTAGGTCAAATTCAATAGCTAGCGAAGTGTAATTTAAAATCATACTATCATCATGTAATAACACATGTCATGAACAAATGATTGAAAGAAAAGAGCCACTTGCTCGAAAGTGAGGTAAATTAAATCACAAGTATAAGCATTCTTTTAGAGGATTATATCAAAGATATAAATTTTTCAAAAAACAAGTGTATTTTAAGGGTAAAGTAGAAAATACTTTAAAGAAGTCAATGCACATGACAAAAGCCTTTTAACTACCACTAAAAGAACTGGAATACTATTAGAATATAGCCCAGATCTTCCAAGTCTCATGGCTTGCCATGGAGACGAAGATGAAGAAAGATCTCGCAGAGATCCTTTAATCTTGCATGCTCAGGGGGAGAAATTCGTCGAGGACGGGAGCTTGGATTACTTGTTAGCAGCGGAGAGATGCGCACACGAGGAGGAAGAACTGTATATATATAACTGTATATGATTGTGTACATATACATAAAGCTACTGCCACGTGGGCATAACTACTGCCACATCATCTCTACCTCTAACACTCCCACTCACGATCAGGCGGCTGATTCCAGTCTGAATCTAAGCCTGAATCGTGCCTAGCTAGTCTGAGATGATGAGCATGGAAAGCTGATGAGAAAAGCATATGAAAACTCATCAATCAACTACCCAAAACTTGGTTCTTGGTCTTGGACTTGCTTGCACACTCTTTGCTTCTTGCTATGGCTTCAATCTTGCCTCTAGCATGTGGTCTTGGACCTAAACTGCCAGGCTCCTCCTTCTCTGCGACTAGGCACTTGAATCTCCATGAGCATCCTTCCCAATTGCTGGAAATTCCTGCAAAGAATTGCTATGCAATGTTCTTGAATTTCAATTGGAGTAACTTTAGCACGTCCCTGGGTCTTCTCCTGGCAGTGGTGGGAGTGGTGTATATCGGAGATCGGCTGGGTTTTAGCAGTGCTCTTTTCGTTTGCACGGGGGTGATTCTTTTCGGGATCATGGTATTTTCCAGCGGCGCCAAGTTCTATCGATATGCTCCCAGCTTGACAGGAAACCCATTCGCCAGGCTCCTGCAGCGTGGATCTCACAAGGGTGATCATTCCAACTTGGCGGGGATTTTGGTGGTGTGGCTCGGATCGGTGGTGTACGAGACAATGAAAACGCAAACTTTCTCGCTCTTTGTCGAGCAGGCCGCGCTCATGGACACAATAGTTGGCGGCTTTCGCGTCCCGCCGGCATCGCTCAACTCGTTCGATCCGATCAGCGTTTTGGTGTGGATGGTCGTCTACGATCGAGTCTTGGTCCCGATGATGCGTCGAGCGACGGGGAACTCGCGAGGTTTTACGTTGTTCCAGAGGATGGGGAGCCGGGCTTGTCATGATGACCGCGGCTATGGCGTGTGCGGCGGTGCTGGAAGCAAATCGTCTCGCGGGTTTCCACAATGAGCGAGTTCAGATCAATGTTTTGTGGCAAATCCCCCAGTTCGTGCTTGTTGGCTGCTCGAAAGTTTTCTACTGCGTGGGATTGATCGAGTTTCTCTATGATCAAGCTCCCGAGAACTTGAGAACTGTGGCCGCGGCCATGGCGTTCTTCTCATCGTCGGTGGGGAGTTTTCTTTCCGGATTCCTGGTGGGCATCACGTCGAGCATCACTGGAGAGCAAGGATGGATCCCGCGAGATCTCAACAATGGGCATTTGGATTACTTCTTTTGGCTGCTCGCCGCGCTGGGCATTGCAAACTGGGTCATCTTCTTGGTCTCGTACAAGTTTAAAGAGTAAGTATATACTTCTAGGGCGTGGAGATTCTAAGAATATACACCAGCGTTTTAGGTCTCTCAAAGAGAAGGCTCTAGAAGGACCTGGAATGGCCGTTTGATGGACGATCGGACGGCTGTCCTTGGCCTAAGCAGCTTAAATTCAAGGAGCGGCTTCTCTTGGTAGGGTTGCTTTGATCGTTTGTGAGATTTTGCGAGAGAGAGAGCTAGCTATGGCGGAAGGCGACGTCGAGCGCTTCGCGTTCCAGGCTGAGATCAACCAGCTTCTCAGTCTCATCATCAACACTTTCTACAGCAACAAGGAGATTTTCTTGCGGGAGCTCATCAGCAATGCCTCGGATGTGAGTATTTCGCCTCCTTGTTCTTCCAGTTCTTGTCAAACTCTTTCTTCTTCTCATGCTGCGCCGCTGTGACTCCAGGCTCTCGACAAGATCCGCTTCGAAGGCCTCACTGACAAGAGTAAGCTTGAGAGCCAGCCGGAGCTCTTCATCCACATCATCCCCGACAAGGCCAGCAAGACCCTGACCATCATCGACAGCGGTATTGGAATGACGAAATCCGGTAAGTTTCTAGCTTCCAGTTCTTCCTAGCCGGAGTTCTTACTTGTATGCTCATTCTTTCTAGATCTCGTGAACAACCTCGGCACAATTGCCAGGTCTGGCACCAAGGAGTTCATGGAAGCCTTGGCCGCTGGCGCCGATGTGTCCATGATCGGTCAGTTTGGTGTTGGTTTCTACTCGGCTTACTTGGTGGCCGAGAAGGTCGTGGTGACGACCAAGCACAACGATGACGAACAGTACATCTGGGAGTCTGAAGCCGGTGGTTCGTTCACCGTGACCCGGGACACCACTGGCGAGAGGCTGGGACGTGGAACGAAGATTGTTCTCTATCTCAAGGAGGATCAGGTGTGTTTTTGTGTTTTTGCTGTTTGAGACTTTATCCCTGTGACTAAACTTTTTCATACTGCGCCAGCTTGAATATCTCGAGGAGAGGAGGCTCAAGGATCTGATCAAGAAGCACTCCGAGTTCATCAGCTATCCCATCTCCGTCTGGGTTGAAAAGACGACCGAGAAGGAGATCTCGGATGACGAGGAGGAGGAAGAGAAGAAGGACGATGAGGAAGGAAAGATCGAGGAGGTTGACGAAGACAAGGAGAAGGAGAAGAAGAAGAAGAAGACCGTGAAGGAGGTGTCTCACGAGTGGAGCCTTGTCAACACCCAGAAGCCGATCTGGATGAGGAAGCCCGATGAGATCACCAAGGAGGAGTATGGTGCCTTCTACAAGAGCTTGACAAACGACTGGGAAGACCATCTGGCTGTGAAGCATTTTGCAGTGGAGGGGCAGCTCGAGTCCGGGCTATCCTGTTCGTTCCCAAGCGGGCTCCCTTTGACCTCTTCGACACGAGGAAGAAGCTTAACGACATCAAGCTCTACGTGCGCCGGGTGTTCATCATGGACAACTGTGAGGAGATCATCCCCGAGTACCTTGCCTTCGTCAAGGGAGTGGTGGACTCGAACGACCTGCCGCTCAACATCTCCCGCGAGATGCTCCAGCAGAACAAGATCCTCAAGGTGATCCGGAAGAACCTGGTGAAGAAATGCCTGGAGATGTTCGCTGAGATCGCGGAGAACAAGGAGGACTACAACAAGTTCTACGAGTCTTTCTCCAAGAACATCAAGCTGGGGATCCACGAGGACAGCCAGAACCGGCAGAAGCTGGCCGACTTGCTCCGCTACCACTCGACCAAGAGCGGCGACGAGATGACGAGCCTCAAGGACTACGTGACCCGGATGAAGGAGGGCCAGAAGGACATCTTCTATATCACGGGCGAGAGCAAGAAGGCGGTCGAGAACTCCCCGTTCCTGGAGAGGCTCAAGCGCAAAGGATACGAGGTTCTCTACATGGTGGACGCGATCGACGAGTACGCGGTCGGGCAGCTCAAGGAGTACGACGGCAAGAAGCTGGTCTCGGCCACCAAGGAGGGGCTCAAGCTCGAGGACACGGACGACGAGAAGAAGAAGTTCGAGGAGAAGAAGGCGGCGTTCGAGGGGCTGTGCAAGGTGATCAAGGACATCCTGGGCGAGAAGGTCGAGAAGGTGGTGGTCTCGGACAGGATCGTGGACTCGCCGTGCTGCCTGGTTACCGGCGAGTATGGATGGACCGCCAACATGGAGAGGATCATGAAAGCTCAGGCGCTCCGGGACAGCTCCATGTCGAGTTACATGAGCTCGAAGAAGACGATGGAGATCAACCCGGACAACTCGATCATGGAGGAGCTGAGGAAGCGGGCGGACGCGGACAAGAACGACAAGGCGGTGAAGGATTTGGTGCTGCTGCTGTTCGAGACTGCGCTGCTCACGTCGGGATTCAGCCTGGACGATCCAAACACTTTCGGGTCGAGGATCCACCGGATGCTCAAGCTGGGGCTGAGCATTGACGACGATGTTGGTGCTGGAGCGGACGCGGATGTGGACATGCCGCCGCTGGAGGAGGGCGCGGACGCCGAGGGAAGCAAGATGGAGGAGGTCGACTAGACACGATTTTTCACGAATTTTGGGATTAGTTTCAAGAGTGTTGTGCTAAGATGCTATGATCTAAGAAGATACTTTCATGAAAAAGAGTTGTTCTAAGCTGCTCTGATCTAAGAAGACACTTAGTTTTGTTCTAAGCTGCTATGATCTAAGATGATGCTTCATGACAAAGAGTGTTAATCTATGATCTAAGAAGACATTTCCAGTGTTCATAAGCTAATATGATCTTCATCTAAGAGGAAAAACCCATCCTTGTATCCAAGCGAGGATTTGACAAGAAAAGTTCTAGCTTGATTCTAGCTTTGAGTAACAAATGGAGATCACCATTTCCAATTAATCAATGCTTTTCGGAGGAGTCGTTCTGCTGCTTGCGTACTTCCTGCCAGATGATTCTAATGAGAACTAGCATAAGAGGGAGTTTTTCTACCTCTTCCTCCGCTTGTAGTGCAGCTAAAACGTCTCGCACTGACGGATCATTCGGATCAACTCCAGGGAGCTGTTATCAAGACCAAAATTGTGAGATGAGCATGCAGTAAGTATATGCTTTACCGAGGCCAGAATAGAGTTCATGAAGCTCGGATCGCCCAACACTTTGTTCATGTCACCTTCGCTGCCTTCGCCTTGCATGGACATCTCGAGTGCTGCACACGCCGAAGTTCGTCAAAGAGAAACGAAGAAAGAACAAAGACCGTACCGAATGCGAGGTCCTGATCTTCTCCCACAGCTTCAGTCATATTCGTGTCATCGGCGCTGGTACCAGAAGTTCCCACCGCGTCATTCATCGACATTGCCAAGGCTTGAGCCAGTAAAGCAGACTCATCGTCCTAAGAAACAAATTCAGCCATGAAAAAGGTAAGAAGAACAAAAAAGTGTTTACCATCACAACGTCCGGCCCCTTCTCAGTCGAAACTGCAGCGGGAGCGTCACTCGGAGGAGCAACAGCGCCAGAGGTCTCTCCTTTTGGTGCACCATCAGGAGCTTGCTCGTCGGCAGCTCGCTTGGCCGCTGCTTCTTGCCTTGCGCGCTCCTCCTCCATCGAGACACGAAGAGCCAAGGCCAGCTCCGGATCCAAGTTTGGATCGACACCAAACTCGAAGCCACCAGCTCCACCGGCAGCAGCGGCCGCGGCCGCTGCTACTCCCGCTGCTGCGGCTGCTGCAAAGCCACTGCCACCCTCTCCATCGCCCTCAAATATCGGCGAGCTGTTCCAATGAATCAATCAGTGCTTTGATTCTGAAGAAAGAAACGCTGAGCAACAAACCTGAGAAGCGCATCGGTGAGAACTTCTGAGGATGGCGGGACATGGACAATGTGGCTGTTGTCGTTGCTGTTGACAGACGTTAGCAGTGCTTCTAGCTTCTCGCTCTTGGTATCGTCCTCCTGGCCAAACTCGACGATGTCCAAAGCTACATTGTTCTTCTTCAGCTTCTTGCCTATAGTCTCGAGTATTTTCTTCTCGGCTGCCACAGGGCTACAAGAAACAAAAAGACGAAGGTTTACCACAACATGAGTTCATAGGTGAGCTACCTTCCAACGAAGAGCACTATTCTTTGACGTTGGTTCTTGTTCTGCCTGTGTTTCAGCGCAAGCTGTGCGATCTGGACTGCGGAAGTGATTTTCGACTCGCCCCCAAGCTCAACACCTGGACGAGGAAAAACGAGAACGAAAAAAGTGTAAGGACAAAGCAAAACTTTACTTGAACAGCTCCTCCTCACCGTGCATACACGAAAGGATCTTGCCCAAGTCCGTCGTTGGCGTGACGAGCACGCGCACTCCTTTGCCCCCAGTCGTTAAAATCCCCACAGTATTCTCTGGATGAGACTGTCAAGATCCAAAGAGCTCCAATTTGATCGTCAGTGATCTAGCTCAGCTACTAGAGCGCACAAACCTGCGTTTTGGAGCCACAGATAAGATTGACAGCATCGGCTTGGGACTGGAATCTACTCGTCGGATAGTAGTCCCCATTTCGCATCCACTCGGAATTGTCTATGCAGATCATCGTCGCCTGGCACAAGAGAAGATAGGCCTGGCGTGAAAGATCGCGAGGAGCTTACCTCGAGAACCATTGCGCCCAGGATCGCCGAAGCACCGCCCCCTCTCCCCGATTTTAGGGTTCTAACACATATTTTAGGGTTCTATACGACTTTTATTTCAGCCATAGCCGGCAATGCGCAGGCCATTTTTCTGGAGCACATCCGCCACAGCGATTATGTTCTGGTGGAATCGCTCGTCCTTCTTGGTGAACTCGTAGAGCACGTCCAGGTGGAGCTTGGGGATTTTGGGCCGGAAGGCTTTGATCTTGGCAGCAAGGATCCCAGCCAGCTTCTCGCTGCTCTCGACGCTCAATCCATCTGGAAATTCGTCCCTGATGCAGCGGCTATCGATCGAGATCAAGGGGCGATTGAGGATTCCTCGCTCCACGCGAAGATAGGCGTACCTCTGCGTGAATTTGAGGCGGACATAGTGTGGCTCTGGGAATCTTAAGGGCGGCATTTCTCAAGCTCAAGAACCCTAAAAATCTTTTCTCTTGGGGGCTTAGGGTTTATCGAGGTTTGGCTGATGGCGCCGGTGGCCTGCGGTGCTAGAATCCACATTTTCCCTGCGCCATGGATTCAACCGGGCTCCAGCTCTTCCACATCGCGGGCAAGGCATCGAATGCGTGGCGCTGTGACCTGCTGCGCTGCGCGATCCAGGCGAGCTGTCCGAAATCCGAGTCTCAAGCAGCAGCAGCAGCCACAGCAGTTCTCCTTGCCTGTGGATTTTCTCTCTTCCGAGGTAGCAATCGGCACTGGAGGAGCGCTGTTGCTGCTGGTAGCGGCATATTTTGGTGCGTTCTTCTTCCTTTTCTTCTCCAGTTTAGAGCTGAGCTGCTTTGCATTGGTGTTCTAAATCACAGGGCTATGTTTGATGGGCAGCTGTGCGAAAATTCTCGTCTGGTGGTGGGATGTCCTCGCGGCCTTCCGAGGAGATCACGAATTTGGAGCCTTCTTCTCCGGAGGCTACGCAGAAATACATACAAGAGAGCATGTCTCGGATCCGTGAGTTTTCCAAAGAGCTGCAAACATTTCCCGAGGCTGACATGAGTGGTGAGCTTCTTTTTCTTTTTTCCTTGGAGAGTTTTGTTCAAGCTTTTTCTTTGCAGGTCGTAAGTTTGGCGATGAGGGGATCAAAATCTTGTCTTCGAGCCTTGGATACAACAAAGTGAGAATGAGCTTTGCTTCAAGCAGTTTTGAACTGATCTTTATCTTCATAGTCGCTGGAATACGCTGATTTTTCCGCCAACAACATCACAGCAGTAGGCTCGTCGGAAATGAGAAAGTACTTGCGCGCCAATAGCCACTTGAAAACGCTGAACATGTCTGGAAATCCTATTGGTGACGATGGAGCAGGGGTACTTTGCGACTTTCTTTTTGTTTTTCTAATAGATCTCATTGGTTTTTAGGATTTTGCTGGCATATTGGAGACGAATGGGACTCTAGAAAAGCTGCAATTAAATAGCTGCAACATCAGTGACGAGGTCTAGTTCTTTTCCTTCGTTTCATTCCTTTTTTCTCATATTTTATTTTAATTGCAGGGTGCAAAGCTCTTGGCGAATGCGCTTAAAAGTAACCAGACTCTGGTTGTGCTAGAGCTGAACAACAATACGATAGATTATCCAGTAGGTTTCCAGTTTGCTGTTTCTTTCACTTTAATTTCTTATCTTCAGGGTTTTGCTGCTATTGCTGAGGCTTTGATTGTAAATAAAACCATCAGAGGCGTGCATCTGAAGTAACTTATTTTCTCTTGCTTTTCTTTACATCGGGATAACTGTTTCATGTTTCAGTGGCAACTACGGTGGCGCACTTGGAGCTTTAGCTCTAGCGAAGGGATTGGAACAAAATAAAATTTTGAGGGTGACTTATTCCGTTCATTGTTTCCCCCGTGTATTGAAGCAGGGAGCTTATGTAGGAGATTCACTTGCATGGGAACGGCATGGGCAACGAGGGTATTCGTACTTTAATGGAGGGTTTGGCTTCAAGCAAAGGTATTAAAAAAAAATTTCTTCGTGGGGCTCTTTTATCGATGGTGTTTTTCTCAGCAAAACTCTCGAGTCTTGATATTGGAAACAACAGCATTGGTCCTAAAGGGGTTTACTACGTGGCAGAATATATGAAAAAAAGCAAAAGTATACAGTGGCTGAACTTGTACATGAATGACATTGGTGACGAAGTAAGCTTTCGGAATACTCTCTTGCAATCTGGTAACACAGTGACAGGGTGCCGAGAAAATCGCAGAAGCATTAAAGCGGAACAAGACAATCTCTACCATCGATATTGTAAGTTCAAAAGCAGTTCGGCGTGGTTTCTTATCGACGACATGTATGCTTGTCAGGGAGGAAACAATATCACGGCTGCAGGTGCCACTCATATAGCCAATGCCTTGAAAGACAACAGCACCATCACATCGGTAAGGTTTGGTTTAGCTCTTGGATCTTGGGCTTAACTCCTTGAGCAGCTAGAGATGAGCTACAATCCGATTGGTGGAGATGGCGCAAAAATCTTAGCGGACACTCTCAAACATAATGGCAACGTCCAAACACTCCGCCTTGGGTGGTGTCAGGTGGGGAGGCTTGCTCTATGTCGTCTTAACTTAAACTCTGTATCAGATTGGAGTCAAGGGAGCGGCGGCCTTCGCTGAGTGTTTACAATACAACTCAACAATGTCAACTCTCGACCTGCGTGCAAACGGATTGGGCGATGAGGTTGAGCTTTTGTTTTGGTTGCACTGCTTCTCAATTGTGGTCTCGAAGCAGGGTGCGGCGATCCTGGCTCGCAGTCTAAAAGTTGTGAACGAAACTCTGACGTCGCTGGACCTAGGCTTTAACGAAATACGAGTAATAAGCCACACTCTTTTCATCCATAGCTCGATTGTAACCTCTCTTGTGCAGGATAACGGAGCCTTCGCTCTAGCGCAGGCGCTCAAGAACAACGTGGACGCGGCAGTCACGACGCTAAACCTCATGAACAATTTCTTTACGAAATATGGAAAGGTCAGGGTGTGTGTGTGTGTGTGTGTGTGTTCTGAGCAGTCTCTCATTTGCTACGCTATGCAGGTGGCACTGACTGAAGCCAAAGAGCACGTTTGCGAAGTACAAGATGGAAAGGAGATCAACATCTTTTTTTGACCGGTTGATTCCCAGAAGTATAGCGTGCTTTGATTATGTAGTAATGGGATCTAAACTAAGCATATCTGTACTGTACATTATACATAGTGTCAAACCAAAGAGTGCATTTCTAGGTTACAACTAATTCGGCGTTAGGTTTCCATTCATGGCGGATCGGAAGAGGAGGAGAGAGGAGGAGGAGGAGGTGGAGCGGGTGAAGGCTCTGCTTCGCGAAAGGAAGCTGGATCTGAGTCCTTTTCGGGATGCTGACTACGAACATTTGGCCAGCCACGGCTTCTTGACGGCGCAGGTTTTCGAAGTGGCGACAAAGGAGGATCTGGCGAGTGTTCTACCGGGACGCGCAGGAATCGTCGGGTTGCTGGTGGAATCATTCAGGCGTGGTAAGGCGGCTACAGAGATTCCCCCGAATTTGGTGCCCTTCTCGGATGTGGTTTGCGACTTCGCGCTTCCGTTCAGAGGTCGAGACGGCCTCGTGCAGAAGCTCGCAGAGACGATTGACAGGAACTTCACCACTTTCGCATCTAGTGGGATTAGCAGAGAGCAGGCGCTCTTCATCACTCTGGAGGGCCTTGCTGGAGTGGGGAAGACTCGATTCCTTTTAGAGACCAAGGAGCGTGTTGGAGAGGCGCTTAAAGGCAGGGCATCAGCATTGCAGGAGCTTCATCGTGTTGGAGCTACGGCAGCGGTGTACATCACCTTCAATGGCTCGGCTGTTGGCCATTCATCACCTCATTTTCTGCATCCGGCTTTTGTGGCAATCTGTAAGGAGAGAGGTGGTTACCATTCTGGCCGGGATTTTCTGCGGGTGTCTGTAGTTTCGCAGATACTGTATGGCAAGCCTTGGGGTGCCTTACCGTCTGCGCTGCAGAATGAGATCCTTGCGGGAGATGACTGCGTGTCTGTGCAGAAGGTTTCAGCTCATGTGAGGAAAGGGCTTGCGGTAGCGGAGAATCAGATGGTTGCCTTGTACCTTTTGGTGGATGAGTCACAGCAACTGGGAAGGGACGTGAGTGCCGCTGGCTGTGATGGTGAAGCCTTCCTGAAAGGCATGTTTTCCTGGTTAGTGACAGTCATGACTTCCTCAGCTGGAAACTCCATCGCCAAGGACTGCAACATTGGCTTTATCACTCTTCTAGCAGGAACAGTTCTTCCTGTAGGCGGAAAGTACGGGGTAACAGACTGGCTCAAGGTGAACGTCACACTACCTCCCTTGGATTTGAAATCGGCGCTGGAGGTACTAAGTATGTTTATCAAGGATAATCTTTTTCACGAATTTCGGACGCAGCTGGAAATACTCCTAGAAGACTGCGGCTGTGTCCCGAGGCTGATTCAATACATTTACACTGCATGGTTACAGGCCCAGGGTCTGGAACTTCCAGCAAGGGATTTCATTGCGCACTTACGAACTTCCGTGATTCTGCAGCTGCAGCCATCTGTTGATCGAGTCATGCGGGAAAACCTCGACAACGTGAAACGAATGATTCGGCTTTGCCTCACTGGGGTGGTGATGCCAAGGCCACCTGTTGGGCAGATGACGAGGGAGGAAGAAGCGTGTTTCAGCGGTTATGTGTATTCTGAAGAGGTGGAAGGCGGTGGAGTTGTCTATAAGAGCCCGATGTTACTTATTCATGCGCTTGGACTGAGGTTGGGGATCCCAGAGAGGGTAGTAGCTCTCAGGCCCCAGCCAGCAGTAGGTGACGTGCTGGAGGATGGCTTTTTGGACATGCTGCATGCCAGGTTCTGGGTGTTGGAAGGCCGAACGCTTTCTCTTGGTGAGATCTTTCCGGGGGCCGTTGGGAACAAGAAGCTGGTTGACACCAGAGTTGTGGTTGCGGCTCGGGGTGACGGAGTGGTTGAAGAGAAGTATCAGTTTTATGATCCGCAGCTGAAAAGGTTTTATAGCCCAGGTGATCAACAAATGATTGGAGCGGACAGGAGACTCCATGTGCACCCAACTGAGGCACAACCCACAGGCGCTGGTTTCGTGTTCAAGTGCAAAAAGGGGACGGCATGCACGGATGGGAGAGTGTTCTTGATTGGTGTGGACGGGGAGGTGTACGAGTTCTGGTTCCAGCTCAAGGGACAGGAAGGCCGCGTGAGTCGGGACGAAGTGGCCAAGTGGGCTAGAGCTGCAAATTCACCTTTGAAGTACGTAGAAGGAAGGAAGAAGGTGTATGTTTTGTGCAGTAGGCAGGGCTTTAGTTTCCAGGACCCATGCGAGGAGGGTGATGTGCTGCTCGTGGATCTAGTTAACATCATGCAAGGGTTCTTAAGAAGGTGCAATTGGTAATTTTATTGAGAACCAAGAAAGGAATGTGAGGTCTAAGTGTTAGCTTTTTGGTTTGCTTAAGTAATAAATATACCTAAAATATGCTTGGATATTCTAGGATATTTTACTTATTATATCTTGTATTTAAAATTTATAAACATGTTAATAATTTATAAACTTTCCTAAACACTTTCTAGAATATTCTTTTTTATTCTACCATCTAATGGTTGATATGCAATAAGATTAATCTTGTGTTTATAAATTATAAACATATTTATAATTATAAACTTCTATTTGATCAATTGGATTAATATATTAAGCAAGCCAAGCATTGCTTTATACTACACATAGTAAATTATTGTTTAAATTTAACTTTTACATTGTTTAAATCTCTTTTATTCCTTTAATTTTTCCTCTTTTCCTTAGGTTATTTTTCCTCTTCTTTTTGTTCATTTTCATTGCATAGTTATAATAGCCTTCTCTTCCTCTTCCAGTAATTGATGTAATTGCTCAATGTTATATTGTTGCAATTGAACAATTAAACTTAGATGATAGTAATGTTCATAATGTATGGTGTAACTCTTCTTGCTTTTATTGTTAATCCTTGCATCTGGCTAGATTTCCTTTATAGGAATTTTATGGATGATGTGAACCATTGTTTCAATCATTTTATAGTGATTGCCACAAATCATTCTTTGGATGATGCCCAAAAGTTTTTTATATATCTTTAAGGGATGGTGTTTGTCACAAATGTGACTTCGGGTATCAAAAGTTACCTGTCGGCTAGTCTTTTTGGATATTTTTTCCTTACTACCATGACAGCATGAGGTCAATATTGTTGGACTAGTTATCAGTTCCCACTTGAACTAGTTGAGAAACTAGTTAATAAACATGCACTTAAATTGGATAAACATAAAGTAAGAACCCTTTGTTGAACATACTCGGCTTGGTTTGAGAAACTTGTGTCATTAGCTTGTACTTGCTAATGTCAAGAACCCTTGCGATATTAAGCTTGGTCCCTCAATATCGCTAGATGATAACTTATTATGTCTGCCAAACACCTTCACTATCATGTTCTTTGTGTTAGTCTTGTTTCGGTCCCAAACACTATTTATAGAAAGTGTCTAGATTCGCTTGAAATGTAGAGATTATCCTGAACACAATGGTGTTCATCCCATATCCAAATTTGCAATCTAGGGACATTCCATATTTACAGAGACTAACTCTTGATACTAAGGGAAGCTTAAGGTAAAAGCCCAAGATGTGTGTTCTTCAAACGAGAGGAGGGGGGATATAGGGGGTTCCAAATGTATAATAAAGATAGGGGGTAGGTCGGGTATGGTTTATCAACCTGAGACATAATCTAACTCCCGCTCCTTGTTCTGTGTTTGGCTTGGGTCTAAACCCAAATTCCACACCATACTAGCTAGTGGAGTACCATGTCCTTACATTAGTCCATTAGTATGCTAAAATAGTACTAAACTCCATTTGGCTCTGTTTTGCGTATTAATTTTAGTTTTGCATATTAGTTTTAGCATTGTGGTTACTCTAGGATTGTCCCTTCACTCTTTGGGTTAAATATTTAAGAGTTATTCTGTGCTCGTCCCGGATTATCCTCCACCAGTGACAAAGTTCTCATGACTTGGTCATGTTTCCATGACACAAGTCACCAAGAACCTTCGACACATGCAACCCCACGCTCTCCATACCTTAGCCACCACCTTGCATGGCCAGACCTAAGGCGAGAAATCCCGCTCGAAGCTGCAAGACCAGCAACGGCCGCGTTTCCACCATGTTGCTGCCGTACCAACCACATGTGACGAAGATCCTTGACACTTTGGCCAGATCGAGTATCCCGCCGCCACCCTAAGTCCTGCCCTAACCGCAGTTAGGGCAGAAGCCCTAGCCGCCAGCCAAGAACCCTAACCCTAGCCGCGAGTTAGGGCAGGCGAGATCTCTGAAACCGCGAAGAATTTGGAGCTGCGCTTTTGGGAGGATGTGAATCTCATCCCAACTATCCACCTGTGAATTTTGGTGAAAAAATTCCCAGCCGTTTAGGAGTTATGAGCTCCCAAAAAACTGTGAACCAAGAGAAGCGAAAAGAAGAGGAGGAGACTGCGTGTTGCTGTTGCAGCTGTGATGTTGCTGACGGCCCTCTCCACTCCTCCAGATCTTCCAAGCCCCGAAAAACCCTAGCTGCCGCCGAAGAACCCTAAAAATCAGTGACGACCTAGGGCCAGCGAGATCTCCAGATCCGTGGCAGATCTCGCTGCGGCCTTCTAGGAGGATGTGGAGCTCCACTCCTAGAAGCCCCCCGTCGAAGGAATCGAATTTTCTCCCAGCCGTTTGGGAGAAATTGAAAAAACCGACCGAGAGCGAGAGAAAAGAGGAGAAAGAGGAGGGAGACGAGCTCCGTGTGTTGCTGCTGCGGTCTGCGATGCTTGTGCCGCGCTGGACGCTCGCTCCCTCCCTCTTTCCCACACTCTCTCTCTAGTGCCTTCGAGCTCTCTCCTCAAAAACTTAGGGCGAGAATGAAGAGGTCCCCGGTTCGAGTAACTGGTATATCCATTTCCCCATCGTCCCCAAGGGACCACCATGTGTGGCAAAAGTACAAAGATAGATCCCTCACTTAACCCATACGGTGTCAGTGAGGGTGAGAGCGCACTCTCGAGAAACTCTCTAGCGAAGCTCACACTCGAGCACGATGATCCGGCGTCGCTCGTGGACCACTCGTCTCGCCTCCCAGGTGACTCCACCGCGTGACTAGAGCCACCTGCTATGCCCCGAGACACTCGAAGCTTGTCCCGAGGCACTCCTCCACTCGAACCTGAAGATGCCAAGTGAATCCCGTCGTCGCATCCACAAAGTGTAGTCCGCAGTTGCAACTCTACCTTCGGGGCGTGAACTTCGTCCGACTCGTCTAGCCAGAGCTTGCATCCCTCCACCGTGAAGCAAAGAGGTGCTCGAGAACACTTCGAAATGGGCCCCATCTTCGAAAGAACTTGGGCTGTCCGCACAAACCCCCTCGTGAAGCACTGCAAAGAGGAAGTCTCCAAAGAGACCTCGCATGACCTCGCGTCAACCACCACAGAATCCACCCACCATCCTCAATGTCAAATGGCGTGGAAGTGCTACGATGTCGCTGCAGCCACCTACCACCTGTGTGACAGTACATCCCTGCCACCAGTTCCAAAAATCACCCTTTCGCAATTCCCCACCATTGCGAAGCATCATAGTGCATGGTCTTCCAACCGAACTCCGGTTTTAGGTTTAGGGTTTAGGGTTTAGGGTTGCAACGTAACAAACTGCACGGTCATGTGCAGCGAATAAAAAGCTGTACAATTTGAGAAGAGGATCGCCTCCTCCGCATCGGTTTCTAGGGTTGCAGCAGCCGCATTTCCAAGTAGGGAAGGAGGAGGCGACTATGTACAACTCCAGTGTTCATGGAAAGCACTCCGATTACGTGGTGAGTGAAATACTTCCCTTGGCCAACCCAACACGTCGGTCCACGCCACAACCCGGGATCCTCAAGTTTGTGGGGACGCTGGCTCACTATGACGGTCCTCAGGCTCCTCTCAAGCGGACCACGATCAACGATGCCATTGACGTGAATCGGCTGCCACATAGGTGAGCTTTCGAATTTGAGAAATTTTTAATTTTTACTTCCATTGTTTAAATCTAGCATGATGAAATATGGTGTGCGACACCCGGACTATCAAACTCTGATCCAGGGTGGTGTGTCCACCAATGGTAACATCCATTTGTCAAAGAGTGCATTCCAGGCATGGAGGAACAAAAACAACACAAATCCTGGCACTAACCTTTATACCAAGTGAGTTTTCTTCCCCCCCTACTCCCTTTCTTTTGCGTCGTCATATGTAATCTGGTTTCATTTTCACAGGGACTGGGGATTGGCATCAAACCAGTCTCACCTGGTCAATGACCACCTCCTGGCAGTGAAGGTGGCCGTAGATCATTTCTTCGTCGTGGTGCTGGAAGATGATTCAACCATTACGCCACCGTTTGAGCTTACTTCCGCCAATGAGCTAGCTGACACGTCCAAGAGAGGGTTACATGACATATACATGGACGATATAGTCATCCCCGTCACTGTGGTTCTCAAGAACAGGTATGGTCCGAATGTCTAAAATCACATGTGATAATAAAAAATAAAAACATATATAGATAAAACAGAGAGCCGCTCCACCAAAAACCATCTAAGCTCCTTGCAAAGAAAACGAGCAAACCACTTACCTGCGAACCAATGCGCGCGTCTGCATAGGCGCCGAGGACGCGTCTCATGAGCGCCAGGATTCTGGATTTTACCGATTGAATATCCTGGACGATTCGCTCGTTGCGTGAACCAGGAAATGCCACTGTCCGCCACGCCATCTCTTTCTCTGATTCAGGGCTCCCGGCTGCGGTGCCGGCTCCAGCACGCAGCAAATCGCGATCGGCGCCGGCGTCGCAGCAGCTCAGCTCGTCCGAATGCCGCGGCCGCCGGCGAGGGAGGAGTAGGAGATTTCATCGCCGGAGCTCGCTCTTGCCATTGATCGGCTGCTTCTCCTCGGCGCTGCCGCTGCAAGATGGGGTGGGGAGCCCGAATCCACTCATATCGGTCCGGCTCGGGTCCATCGCTCGGCGGCGGAGCACCTCTGTTCTCCCTGGGTCCCTGCGGCCACTCTCCACCGGATACGTGTCGGCGTAATCGTGCCCTGCCCATATGAGGGAGACAGGTACAAGCTTGGTCGTAGCGTTCTACGTTGGACTCTGAAGTTTGCAGCATTTGCCGGGAAGAGTGATTTTGTTTTTGATCGCCATACAAATCTAAAAGATTGTTGGAGCGAATATTTATCAGCTTAGAAAAAAGTATTATTGCTAGACTACCTTAGGAATACAACCGATGAGTTAGGAGGCATGGGTGGGACTTGCAGCAGCTCGGCATGTACAAGGGAAGGATGGAGCCTAGCCCATTTACGATCCACATGAATAAAAGGCCGATATTTGCGAACAACCTCCGGGAGGACAAGCTCTGGATCAACCTTTTTCCCCTCAGCGTAGAACATGGAGTAGCGGATGTGCTTCCTTACTGCTCTCCACATCTCGTTGT